GTCCCCCCCCAACTTTGTAAAGAAAGCGAGTCAAAGCTGGGGAGAAACCTGTTTGTTTTTGTTTTTGTGAGGTTCGGTCATTTTTCGCAGCTCAGCCCCTCGAACTCACTTTGTGGAACTCCTGGAGTCGGCCGTGCCTATTGTGCACCGCGTAGAAACGGAAAGTGTGTTCACCGATCAGTGGAGCATATCCCTACATCAATGCATTCCTGGTGCTAGGTATTACCCGGCGCGTTTCTGGTCATTGCTGTCAACACTTCTCTGGCCCCTGACACACATTAGCCAAGACGCTGGTGCTCCATTTTCTGTGCGCCGGCCAACAGCGGTTCCGTTTTCCGCCGCCAGGGGTGACATCGTCGGAGCTGGTGCGGCGGACGATGGCCTCGACGGGCGGGCAGAAGCGGGTGACCACCCAGGTCACGACCACTGGCGACCGCGGGAAGCGCGGCAAGGAGGGCGCCAAGCGGGTCATCACCACCACGGAGGTCATCAGCGGTCAGTGCAGGACGGCAGCCGCAGTGCGCGGTGACCTGCGCTTCACGTCAGGCGTCCACTGCAATGGGAGGCGTGAACACGCTTTGTTGAAGGATGGCAGCATGCTGTAACCAGCCCGCTGGTCACGTGGGAGGAGCATTGTGCGCTGAAGTGACGTCATGCCACGTGTCATAAGGCATTGGGCCCAGCGAGTCAGCAAATATGATATTTCTGTCGTGCTTTTCCAAGCCAATGGTCATGTTGCAGAGTTATTCGTCAAGTGTATTCAAATTTTATTAATGAAATGTGTGCCTGGCTGGGCTTGGCTTCAGTACATTCACGTATGCATTCACGTGCACAGTGTGTTCAGTTAAAGCAAATCAATGTGAGTCGGATGGATCATTTGTCATCACTCCGCCATGCCCGACAGGACACCACGAAGTCGACCCGACGTGCAGCTCAAGTGTGTGCCTTGGGCCTAATGTACACCATCATGAATGATATCACTGCGGGACTGGGAATATGCTACCCAATTTTTCCGAAACTGGGATCTTGTCCCCTCCAATTTTGATCGCAGAGAGCACAATTTTATGTTTTCTCACACAAAATGTCATTTTCGTGGCAGGCCGTCATCTCCAGATCCCAGTGTGAGCCCTCCCACCCGGAGTCGCCCCCACCCCCAGTATCAGAGGCGGAGTTACACCCGTGGACCCCATCTCCACGGGATCGCAAGGCGCTGGCACCTCTCCCCAGACACGGTTTGACACTCTTTCCGTGTCATTATTTGAACTGTGTTCCAGGTGGTGCGTTCAGACCCACGCATGAAAAGCACCAGATCCACAGCCAAAAGCCCAAAGCACACCGCGGCTACGTCGAGAGCTCGCCGACCTTGATTGGCGCTGCGGTGGTTGCCTCGACCATGACGTAAGTTGCAATACGCAAATGTTTGCACGTGCTTGCACAGGTAAATTTGCAACGCATGAAGGTGTGTTCCGCTCCAATCGAACTGCTGGGAGCCCTACCCCGTAACGAAAAATATGCGCACAGATTGATTCACAATGTTTGCGTCGCCCCAACAGACTTTTGTGTTTCTAGCTTGCACTCCCGTGACTCGTGCGTCTCCAGCTCGTGCCCTGAGCCTACTGTAACTCTAGTTCGTCTCCTGTATGTCCTCCGTCTGTAGCTCGTCTCCTTGACTCGTGTGTCCCTACCTTGTCGCCTGTGACTTGTGTGTCTCCAGCTTGTCTCCTGTGACTCGTGTGTCTCTAGCTTGTGCTCCTTTGTCCCCTGTGTCTCCTGTGTCTCCCGTGTCTCAAGCTCGCCTCATTGTTTCCAGGGCTCGCCGCGTGCTGTGACCGGTATCCGGATCCGTCAGCGCAGCCCGACCCGAAGACGGACCCGGCGCCGAGCGAGACTAACACTGCGCCGCGCCGCCGGCGCCTAACCCGGTGTCTGTCCCGAGACTAACCCTAGCCCTTAGCCGGGCGCCGCCACGCGCGCGCCGGCGCCGGAACCCCCGGGGCGGCCGCGGCCGGCCGGCCGGCGACTGTGATATAGCGCCCGTGCGTTTGTGTGATACGGGCGCCGGTGGGGCGCCGCGCCCGCGCCGGCAGTGACAAGAGAGGTGGCGCTCCGAGAGTGACGAGAGGGCCGTCCCGCGCTCCGAGAGTGACGAGAGGGGCCGTGCCGCGTTGCGACGGCTCGGGCGAGGCAGAGACGGCCGCTGGACAAAAGACAGCCGGGTGCCCCGCGCTGGCGAGACTGGCCTGCAGCCACAGCGGACTCCGTGATCTTTATTAAATAATATAATTATTAAATTGCTGGCTGTGTCTTGCCTGTTGGAGAAGGCCGGTGGGCGTGCGAGCGTCAGTGTCGAGTGACGTGCCGGTACCAGTCAGGTCGGGGGCATGCTGGGGGTCACCACGCGGCCCCTATCCAGGCGGAGGTCGGACCTAGCTGGTTAAGTTAAGTTATATAGATATATGTATGTACACACACACACACACACACATATATACATACATATATATATATATATATATATATATATATATATATATATATATATATATATATATATAGCGCCAGCATTTTAGACGAACGCCCTCTTCAGAACAGTCAGAACACAGGAGTCAACGACATCAATACATTTGGAGCAAGGTTCAATAAAAAAAGTGGACTGTGCTTCGAAAACGCATTCAGTTCACATTAATCAAAGACTTCAAAATGTAACGCTGACGCCATCCGTGCAGAATGAACGCAAATTGAAATATTTGAAGCAACTTCAAGATTTGCCAGCTTATAAAGTCTGTCATTCACAAGAAAAACGACATCATATTGCCACCTAAACGTTGGGTGATGACTGTGGCACTGGCCTTGCCTTCATAATGGCAGCAGTCATTCTAGATGAGTTCAAACCGATGCCCGGAGTCTGATCTCTAACACACGCCGAGAAAGCACGCGATGTCCACTGGACGCCGAGAAAGCGCGCGATGTCCACTGGACGCCGAGAAAGCATGCGATGTCCACTGGACGCGGGCCTGCCGCAGGCCATCACGGGTCACTTGACGCCTGACCCTGACCCTGACCCTGACTTGACCCTGACGCACGAGGCCGCCGTGACTTGCCGGTGTACTGAAGCTCGCAGGGACGCGGCACTGTGCGTGAGGCCTCCGGCATCAGCCGCATCGGAAGAAGCATCACCCGAATGGTACACACTGTATGCCGGCCATGTGGACGGGTCGGGCGGGGGAAGGGGAGTGTGTGACCAGCAGACACGCCCGCGCCAGAGCGGATCGCCACGCGCCACGGTGGGATTATGCTGGGGCATGCCAGCGCTTGTCCCGCCGTCGGGTCACGCTTTGTGCTGACCCCAGCAGAGCTGTTTACGGTCCTCAGCCATCTCAGATGGACAGGCCTCAGCTTTTGCAAACGAGCGCCCATTTCTGACGAAACGCCCACGTCGTGATTGCTGCACGGTCCGTCGCATCGTGGAGCGTCTCCGCGTTGTGGTCAAATCTCCATCCGCTTGCATCGTGTTGTGACTCATTTTTGCGATCAAGTGTCTGCAGTCTAGCTCTCGGAGAAGTCAGAAACACAAGGAGGCGCGCCCACCACGTCATGAGTTGCTGTGTGAACGGTGGATCCAGATCCATGTCAGGCTCAGAAGGGAATAAGTGCCAGGGTTAACAATATAAGTGCCAAAGTTAATAAGTCCCTTTGGTCAGCCAAAAATATATGTGCGGTAACACCAGAAACTGAGGTTTCTCGGTAAGTTATGGGTGCCAGTGCTAGGAGGAATTCCTCCGCCAAATTTGCTCAGCGTTGCGCCAACGCATTTTCCTCTCCCGTCGTCTCCTTGCCGTGTCCAATCCACGTCTGCCAAACAAGATGGCGCCTGGAGGCGAGAATGAATGACACGATAATACATGACAGTAAAGGTTAGGCAATTATGCTCATCAGAACAGGTGGTCCCCAGCGGTAATCCTGTCGTCCGTCAGTGTTTATCGACACCCCATTTCCGCCAGGCTTAGTGACGTTAATTCCCTTTGTTGCTGCATGTGCGATAAATAACCAAAAAATTATGATGCCAAGCAACACGCTTGAGATCAAACGACCGTCAGTATAGGCGGCTCGGGCACCATCGCTTTGATTCTGCTCAAACTCGGCACACGGCTAGGCCATGGCTCCCAACAAATCAGCGGATTGGTTTATGCGATGCATGTGGAAATATAACATCCGGGGTGTCACTAAAATATCCGAATTAAATTAAGCGCAAAATTATTCGACCCAACCTAGCGAACCAAGTCCGGAACTGTACCATTCTGCTAAGTATGTCATCATGTCATAAGCCTGCATCGTCATCTGAAATGAAGAGCTTTCTTGAAACCTGGGTGGCACATGAGCGCTCCAACACAGTGCGTGTACAAGCATGCATCTCTGTCCAAGGGTAAACCGTTTTGTCTGTCGGTGACGAGACAGGCCCAGACGCTCCCCCCGCAGCACCGCTGTGCCGGTCTGTGACGCCGCCGCGTAGGTCAGTGACGGCGGGCCCGTGCCGCCGCTGTGCCGGTCTGTGACGCCGCCGTGTAGGTCAATGCCGGCGGGCCCGTGCCGCCGCTGTGCCGGTCTGTGACGCCGCCGTGTAGGTCAGTGACGGCGGGCCCGTGTCGCCGCTGTGCCCCTCCGGCCGCCGCCGACCCCTCCACACCGCCGGTCGATACTCGACGGTGCGGCGGCCTGGTTACGGCCGCGACACACGCCGACCCGGCTGGCCGTGGACGAGGCGGCGGTGGGGACGGTCGACGGGTCAAGCCAGGACGCGGCCGGTGGACACCCTCGCGGCAGGTCGTCCAGAACACCACCAGCGTGGTGACCCCCGACGCCGGTCAGCGCCGACAGCGCAGCCCGAGCCGGGCCACCGTGAGTCAGTCCGCCGGCGCCAATAGAGGAAGGTCAGACCTCGACCGGGACGGCCCGTCACCGGCCAGCCGCGGCCACCGGCGACCCAGCAGACCCGCTGGACCATGCTGAAGCTGGCGGCGATCGCCCCGTTGCTGCGCAAGCGACCGCGCGGGGCTCCCCGGAGCGGCGGCGGCCGCGCGCCGGCGTCGGCACCGTCGCCGGAGCAGGACCTCTTCAGCCTGACCGCCGGCCGGGCGGTGCGCCTGGCGGCGCTGCTCTTCCTGGTGGTGACGGCGCTGCTGCTGCTGACGGGCCGCGCGCGGCACACGCCTGTGCTGGTCACTCCGCGGCTCACGTACGGCGCCTGGCTGGCGCGCCGCGACGCCGTCGCGCCGCCCGAGCCGCGCGTCACGCACCGCGGCCGCAGGCTCCGCTTCAACACCAGCGCGTGGGCGCACGTGCGCTGGCCCGACCGCGACGACTGCGCACGCCACGTGGTCAGGTAAGATGGGCGCACGTGCGCTGGCCCGACCGCGACGACTGCGCACGCCACGTGGTCAGGTAAGATGGGCGTTGGGTGCGGCAGCAGCTAACAGATACTGTGTAGAGGTTACTGGTTCGGTGATAAATGTCATACGTCATGCACCTGTTGCAAGAGGCGTACGGCATCCGACGACCTGAATGACCAGATTAATGCGAAAATTATGACTTTCAAGTCGGATGACTTCATTACTATCTGATATCTAGCAATTCAATACCTCGTAAAAAGCCCCGCATTTTTCAGCGTAAGTGCTCGACCGGTTTGACGGCATGTTCGCAAGATTTACATTCCACGTGACATGACACTTGGGTTGCCTTATCCACACGCAGTGACAATCGGCTCATAAAACCGGACGCATGGGGTTAAGCCTGGTGTTTATACCCAACCGAGACGAGCTTGGCTGGATTCTTATGGAGCTTGGAATCAAATAGTTCATAAAGCAGACGCCTTAGAAAATCATTAGCAACTAAATGCGTTTCACAATTGCACTCCGTAAACGATTGTCCACGCTTCCTTAACGTCAGTGCACCGTTCTGTACTTTGCGAACGCATTGCACAGCCCAGCGGCGCTGTCCACACGTGTCCTGTGAACGCGGCCATCGGACTGAGGATCCACTCCACGTGGACGCGACCCACGACCGCTACCCGAAACGTGTGCATGCTATCACTGAACTCGGCACCAGCCAGAGGAACTGTGGCTGTTCTGCAGCGGGGACCCACCGTAGTGCGGGGCATCGCCGGCTCGTTCACCCCGGGCTACTCGCTTCCCAGACTGACTCACCCAGCCAGCGTAGGGCCTCGTGGGTCGTTCCAGTGTCGCCTGCGCAGGTTTCAGGGGTCCCAAGAGGACACTGGGTGCTGAACGCTGAGCACCACCCCAGCGATCCGTCTACACAAGGTTTACCGGTTTTGCGAACGTCATGGTCGCTTCGAAAAAGTCGACGTAGGAAGGTCGCAATCCCAGACTTATTCATTCCTCAGAGACTTGTGATGATTACTTTGCCCCACCGAAGGCTTGATTATGCGTTGGTGCTGTAGCATGACCCTTTCCAATCAACGTCCACTGTATTAACAGGACTGCCAAGGCTGTGATGATGGCCTAGTCTCATAAAACAAAAGTACGAACCACGCTTTTTGAATTTGCGTTGCATGAACTCATGGATGTTAAGCCAGTATTCCGACCGACGTGTTCTTTTGACCACTGCCTTGAGAACAGAGAGATCTAGTGGTCATGCTCCCAACTTGTATGCTCGCTCTACACAGTTTTGAACCGCGTAAGTTCCTAGTTTCGCGTAATGCACGTAACTTTTGCCGAGGTAATCTCCCGGGTTGAGGGTTGCCGCCGGTGCGTGCCTCCAAACGAGCTCCTCTGCGGACAGGTTCGCTCGTGCAGGCCAGCTGCCACCGGTCGCCCTTGTCACCCTCCCCGGGAGTGGCGCCACCTGGCTGCGCCACCTTCTAGAGGGCGCCACGGGCGTGTTCACCGGAGGCGGTCGGTTCAACCCGCAGCTGTTCAACCAGGGTAATACCACCCAGCGCTGCCTCTACCCACTGCCACTGGGATTCCCGCTGCGTGAGGGGAAGTAGAGCTCGGGATCTTAACAAAATTCAAGCACGCAAAACCCGCTGCCGGGCTTCGGTGGAAAACCGCCTGATACCAGACGCGGTCAGTTGATAACTTCGTATGCTACATCACAACGTGCCTCCTATTTTCTTTTCGTCGCACCGTACCAGGACGGCTCTGCTCACGCAGCCGCTAGTTGTATGCACCGGACGCGTCTCTCCGCGGCAGGTCTGTACGGCCAGCTGTTGCGTGACACGGACGGCAGCACGCTGGTGCAGGAGAACGTCCGGGGGCCGCACATCGAGCCGGCCGGCCCGCAGGCCGAGCTGCCGTTGGCCGCGCCCGAACAGGTCACCAAGCGCACCGGCTCTGCCAGTCACCGTAAGCCGTCCAAGGTAACCGGCTGCTGGACCTGTCCCCAAATGCGCTGCAACCCGCTACCTCTGGTTTATAGTGAGACGTGTGAAGCTCGCCCGTCGTAACGCAATGTTAGATCATGGTGAGTGTGGGCAGTGATACTGTCTGCCTTTGAAAGTGTTGGCGCTGTTCGTGGCTGGTGCCTGTCGACCGCCGTGGATAGCCTACGAGACACCGCCCCTCTGAGCAGCCACTACCCCAACTCGCAGCGTGCCACGCTGTCGCCGAGCCCGTCGTCCTGCTACCAACGCACGGTTGAGCCCGTCGCCCTGGTAATAACGCGTGATTAAGTCCGTCGCCCTGTCACTAGCGCGTGGTTGAGCCCGTCGCCCTGGTACTAACGCATGCCTGGGGCAGACGGTCCTACTGTTGCAGGACCCGTACAGGTTCCTCTCACTAGCGCGTGGTTGAGCCCGTCGCCCTGGTACTAACGCGTGCCTGGGGCAGACGGTCCTACTGGTGCAGGACCCGTACGGGGTCCTGCTGGAGGGCCGGGGCGCCGAGGGTTCGCCGGTGGGAGAGGCCGCCGGCGAGCGGGATTTCCGCGGGAGCCAGTGGGAGAAGTTCGTCTCGGTCAAGATGCGGCAGTGGCTGTTCCAGACGCAGCTGACAACGCACATCGCGAAGCAGCTGCTCGTCGTACATCTGGAGGACCTTCAGGTGAGTTGCCACGAGGCGCGAGCAGGCAGAGACGCAATGTTATGGGTGCACTAAAAACTGCATCCGGAAAGTTCGGAGGGTTTCATCTCCTTTATGTCCAAGCTGGCATCAATGAAACTGGGATTTTAGCTTAAGTATTTCGATTACATCTGTCGGTCTCCTTCCCTCGGAAGAGTCCTTGACCTGCCCTGACATCGGGCAGGAGGAACCTCTCGCGGGCCTGCAGCGCGTGCTCGACTTCCTGGAGGTGGTGGCTCCCGCCGAGCGCCTGCGCTGCCTGAACGCCACGACGCCACGGCCGGTCGACCTGCTCGGCGAGCCAGCCTTCCAGAACCCGGACCTGCGCCAGCTGATCGACCGACACGTGGACGAGGTCGGAGAGCTGCTGCAGGAGCGCGGACATCGGCTGCCGCTGCACAAGTACCCCCGCTACGGCAAGGGGCCTCCGTTCGGCTGAGCGCCCACGCTGGGCCTGTGGCAGGCGCCGCATGACTGACTGACCGGAGCAGCGTTACGAGTCAGGCGCGTGGCGGACTGGTGCCGTGCTGATGGACTCACGCCTGGGGATGGATGCCGTCGACCACAGACAGGGGAGGGGGTGGGGGCAAGTGTGCTGCTGTTGGCTCACGGCGGCTCGCGACGCCAAACACGATGCGCGGACGGCTACCTCACACTCGGTAGCTGATCCAAGCGACGTCGCAGACTGACGTCCAGCGGTGGCAGGACCTGGTCCCGAATGGTCGCCGCCTGGCACGCTTGCGAATGTGGAACCATTTAACCATTGCGGGGTGTTTGGTCTAACGGCTGGCGCGCGGCTCCGTACCTTGTGAAATTCCGCGCGAGCGGGAGCGAAGCTATACTGATGAGGCCGGGTGTGACGTAGCGATCCACCGCTGTGTGATGGTTGTGCCTAGTGTTGACGATCCCGGCTTGTTATCTATGTGCTATGTGCAATAAAAGTACCAGAGTTTATCATGGATGAACGGAGGGGCTCAGCAGTGAATTGCGGGGGCAAGTCCCTATGCTCCAAATGAGGTAAACAACTGGACAACGACGGACCTTCAGATCACGCGGAGCGAACTGCAGGAGGCACTGAAGGACAGTCACGAAGCCTCGCTTCGGCCCCCTTCGCCGCGTTCTGACAGTCACCCACGCCGTGGCCAGCAGTCGGCTCCCGCGTTCGGCGTCAGCTGCTCGTGCTGAACACTCGGCATCGGCCGCCGCCTGGGACCTCTTGGGTTCACCTCAGTCCCAGCCGGGCCCCGCCAGGGATGACAGGGTGGGACCTGTGGAAGGTTCGGCGGGACGCTGACGGCCTAGATGTGTCCCCTGTCGTAAGTACCCTATCGCCGAACACTGTTGTCGTCCGGTGAAATGATGTGTAGGCCGCTGAGACAGGTTCCACGATGACCACCGTTTCGGAGGTCCCGGTTCCAGCCGCGCAGTCCACAGACCAGGCATCGTCATCATTTATTGCCTAATCTTGGAGCTTGGCGGCGTTTGGCGAGGCAGCCAGCAGCATGCTTTGTATGCAGTTGTGAACACAGCCCTCTCTGTTGACTAAAGTATCGAAGTCCACGTCGCTTTACCAAAGTCGGCCATTGTCAAAGATATCACTTGATATTGATAGGATATTTTCCTGTTATCGTGCTTTGCGCGCAATATCATGCGCCTGTTCGGGAGCGAGAGCGCAGGAGAGGCACCGAAAGGCACGACGTTGGGATATTTCTGAGCCGGACCGATCCTGATTGCTAGTCTGGGCCGAGGGTCTGTGTAGGACAGTCGGACGGGACTCGGGCCGCGTGGGGAGTTGGGAAAGCCTCCGCTGAAGTGCATCTGTGAGCCCCCCCCCCTCCCCCCCCCCCCGACTTCGTACGGCGACCGTGCAACATCGTCTCGGCTATGACCGTGCCATGTCGCCATACCGATGGCAATCTTAAGCTTATCGGATGTGGATGGCGCAATTACATCCATATATATCCAATTCGATATCGATCATCTCTTGGGTTCGCGGTGGCGATGCCCTGTTGACCGAATTGCACGGCACATTGCTGGTAAAAAGGAAAGTATTCGCGTTCCGTGGAGTGGCGTGGAGTCATGCCGCCAGCCTTACCGCGAAATCGCATGCGTGTGGAAACAGGTCCGCTGACTCGTTTTAAGTGGTGGCGTAGGTACTTGAAACCACAGCTGACGTAGCTTCGGAAATCAGTGACCCAGTTCCTCATCGATGGTAGCAAAGCATCATGTCACGTAGTGCTTCCACCTTCGTTGCTCACCTTCGGCGGCCCGAACCCACTACCTTAGGCTTCGCCCTACAGAAGCTGTTCCGTCTTCGTCTTCCGAGGGAGAGCCCCTACAAGCAAACTACAGGCCAAGCAAGCCAGAGCAACGCAGAAAACAGCGTTGAAAAGTTTCTCGCACACTGCATCATACAGGTGTGCCTGTCCAGCGATGAATGTGACCTATGACAGGTCACAGTCAAAAATCACAAATAAAACTAGGTTAAAATGGTCAAACTGACGCTTCCTTTTATCTAAAAAAGTAAGCACTCCGCGACACTGCAGGAAACGGTGTTGAATAGCCCTTGGAAACGTCTATCAGATGGTCAATAGTAAATATCGACACATTGGACCTGTGGTAGGTCATGTCAGGTCAAAAGGGTAAAGGTGATCATTGCATTGACCAGTTCGGTCACATCCAGAACTAAATAAACCACAGTACCGGGAAGAAAATGATTAGAAGGGCCTTCTCAAGTCATAAGACACAATCTATTGAAGGTTAAACTGTATGGCCTTCAAGCGGTCAAGCTTGAACATAAATGTCAAAGTTTGACCTAGCTTTACCCTGGACGAAGTGACTTTGTAAAATGCACCACAACGATAGCTGCGCATCGATTCAGAGCGATGAGCAATCCGAGAAACTTCTTTGGTATGCATTTCCCGCAAAAAATACTCGTTACTGCTAAGCAACATGTCACGGACATGACCACAAGCCAAGGTTTAAGGCCGTGAGCTGTCTGTTAAAAACTTCAAATTTTCTCAAAATGTTAAAGAAACGGCAAGTAAAAAAACGCCAGGTTTAGCACCGCACTCAAAATTGTTCCCAACTTTTTTCCGAAAAAAACTGACGGGGCTTCAGAGGCGCCTCTCGTGGCGCAAGGGTTGAATCAGGCTTTTGAGACCGGGCCTGTGGTAAGGGAATAGACACATGCCGCGGGACCGTAAGCTCAGGTTGCCCAGTGGCATCTGGGGCGCACTTGTGCGCCGTCCATGTATGAGTTTGCGCAGTTTGCGAGTTTGCTCCCTCAAGGATTATTGCTGGGGTTCTGTGCAGCCTCTGCCGGAGAGGGGCGTTGAGGTGATCTGTGTAATCAGCGGGGTAGAGCCGCGTGGGTCGGGAGAGAGCTGGCCTCCCTCGCGCCGCCGGGAATGGCTCGCCCGGCTGTGTGCCCACCGCTCCGGCGAGCCGGTCCACCGCTGGATGGAGGTCCCGATCCATGGCCATGCGCAGCGTGTAACACCAGGGGATTGTGCTCGAAAGGTCGTGGGCCGAGATGTGTGTCGTTTGGAGCCAACATGTTAACACGCGGCGGGAAGCATACAAAAGATCGGGAGGATGCTTGAGGGTGCACGAAAGGCATCACAATGCATATGACGCATGCAAATGAAATCGACGTCAGGAAGGTTGGCGAATAGGTGTCCTGCACGTTGCACGTATCTAGTTAAGGGCAAGGTTACACGAGCCCTGAGGGGTCACAGATGAAAAGTCATCCGATTTTTCTGAATTGGAGGCCGGGGTTCCCGGCAGTCAAGAATTAATAGACACATCGCATTTCCCAGTATGCTGCAATGAACCAGGTCGCGTCTCTCCTCACGCACAAACAGCGAACTTTGCTGCACTTGCTGCACTGCACTGCACTTGCCTCTTTGACTATGTGTAAAGACAGACGCATAGGCATGCGTCTGTTAGAGACATTGCTGCAGACATATTGTTAGGGGCATTGCTGCAGATAGAGCGTAAACAAAGTACGGTCAGCATAGTGTCACATGATTCGTGGCACAGCGTCCGATGGAAAAAGGTTGGTTGACCATTCATATGCCATGGCTACGCTGGACGGGAACCCCCCGCTGGTTGGGCTGTTAAAACATTTTTCACATATTGCAGTATGAACTGCAAACACACTCCAGCGTAATGTTACACAGTCAAAACACACCTCCTTTGTTATGCTTGGATTACTCTGATTCAGCTACCCAACATTGCAGTCAATCACGCCCAAATTTTACCAATTGCAGTTGTTTATTCAAATTTTGGTTCCGTTTTGAAAGCGGTTGGTACGCGTTGAGGACGGGTATAGGCATAGCTTACCATAACGATTACGGCGGCTGGCAAGGGGTCCCGGTCCCGAAAAGAAATCTCCCGATTCTGCACGCCATGAACCCGCTCCGTGTTTTATGAGCCGTGGTTCGGATCATCGGGCGGCGCCCCGTGCCAAGCCGGGCCGCTACGTCCGGAGAAAGTGTCCGTGGGCCGTGCCCACGCGCCAGCGGCGCGCCGACCCCGCCGTGGCGGCCGGTTTCTCCGGGCGGAGCGAGGACTTGGCAGAGGTGAGCCGCTGACCCGGCCTGTCGCCAGTCAGCGTCGAGCCCGTGTGCGAGCGCCACCCGCGCCGGACGACCGGACAGCGAGCGCCCAGCAGCGGCGTCCGTCTGCGTGTGGAGGCGCCCCGAATCGCCGAGAAATCCGGCTGGGTCCTGTCGCGGTGGCCATGCCGCCTAACTCAGCGCGTTGCTCTGTGACGGTCTGGGCGTTGCTGCTGTCGGTGGCCGCAGTGCCGCCGGCGCACGGGCAGCGCGTGGTGGCCGGCGGCCGGCTCCTCTTCCCTGCCGCCGAGCCCGCCGCGCTGGCCCCCGCCGCCCGCCAGCCTGGTCTTCACGCCGAGTCGGCAGGCGGCGTCGGCCGCGGCCGCCGCTGTCGCGCCTGCAGGCGTACCTGCGGGAGGTGCGCCTGCGCGGCAGGCGGCCGGCCACGCCTGGCAGGCGGAGCGCGCCGCCGCCCGCCGTGCGCGCCTGCCTCGGGCGGCAGGGGCGCGTCGCAGCCGCCCTGCCGCCGGCCCGGCTCGGACCCCGCCCGCGGGTAGGGGTCCTGCCGGCCGGTGACGCTCCCAGCCTCGCCGCTCACCGGCCGGGCCAGCATGGACTCTCCGTGGCGACGCGCCGGTCCGACGCCGGACTCGAACCCGCCGGACTCGGCGCGCGCCCGAACGCGGACTCCGCGCCCAGCCAGACGCGACTGAGACTCGGCCTGCTGCGGGGCGGGGCGGGCGGAGCCGGTCCCCCGAGACCGCGGCTGGCGATGCTGCCCTCAGGATGCAGCTGCTTGCCGCTGGTCGGTGACGGATCTGTGGATCTCGTCGGACTTGGATCGGCGCAGGGCGGCTCACTGGAGCTGGACGGGCTCGACGATGCAGTTGGCAGTTTTGCTGACCTGGAGGAGCCGGCGGACGAGTGGTTGGATGAC